CATTCCCATGGTGGGAGATTCAGCGGTGTCAGAAGCACTGGCCACATACTGTACTACGTACTCATGTTGCCAAATGGATTGAATCCATCGGTAGCTAAGGCAAGCCTTAGGTTCCTCGAATCATCTGCAAAGGTTGGTTCCCCCGTGTCGAACTCCTTCCATGCTTCTCCATCAGCTGGATGGCTCATTACATTGTCAACTGGCGTCCTTGTTTTCTTGTGCCATTGTGTTTCCTCAGAAGTGCGCTTTGAAGCAAAAATTCTTTTCAACCTTGGCAAAAGTGGAAAATGCCTCAATACCTTGTGTGGAACCCGCTTGTTCCCAGTTTCATCTTGCCATCTAGACGCCTTGCATACTGGGCACACATTCTCTTTATAATACCTCTTCCGAAACAACACACAATTGTTCTTGCACACATGGATGTTTTCAAAACCAAGGCCCAGTTCTCCAAGATATTTCTTGGCCTCATCATATGATTTTGGCAACTCACTCTGAGGGTATCCTGATGACAACAACTTCAGCATTGTGGAAAATGTTGTATTGCCAATTCGATAACGAGACTTGATATACAACATCCTCACCAGAAAAGAGAATTTTGAATGGCTAGATCCCAGGCTAAGTGACTTCTTCGCATCTTCAAGGACTCTTGCAAACCTTGGTTGTTCTCCATCGCCTCCGCCAAGCAAAGATGAGATCTCCTATCATCTCTGGTACTCCGTGATCCTCATCATAATCATCATCGACCACATCCACATGTATCCCAAAGTCATGATCACTTCCTTCGACCTCCTGCTCCAAATTTTCAACTACTACAGTATCCGCCGACTCCCCATGATGAATCCACCTGGTGTATGCAGCTGACATTCCATAAATGTGTATATGGTCATTTACATCATCTTGAGGCCGTAAACTTTGATTAAGACATTTGCTGCACGGACAAAGTATGTGGCTATCTTCGGGGTATCTTTCACTAACAAATTTCATGAACTCTTCAACTCCTTTCACATATGCAGGTGTGAATTGTGTCCCATAAATCCAGCTTCTATCCATCTGTTTTGAGAGTAAAATAAACCTTGCACTCAGTCCTAAAATTAGAGTAAACTCAACAAAATTCAAAAACACATCCAACACATGCATATATATAAAGAAATTCAAAAACAAATCAAACCTTGTACTGCTCTGTCCCACGCGTCGCCGCTGCTCAGTCCTAAAATTAGAGTAAACTCAACAAAATTCAAAAACACATCCAACACATGCATATATATAAAGAAATTCAAAAACAAATCAAACCTTGTACTGCTCTGTCCCACGCGTCGCCGCTGCTCTGTCCCACGATCGCCGGCGCTCCTCTGTCCCACGCAAACCGTCGCTGCCCTGTCCCACGCAAGTCACCGCTGCCCGGCGCTGCTCTCCTCACCCCACGATCGCCGGCGCTGCTCTGACCGCCCCACGATCGTCGACGCCGGTGCATCGACCACACGCGCGCCGCCATCGCTTCTGTTCCCACGAAGCGCCGCTGCCGCGCTACCCGCTCCTCCTTCGCTCGGGGCCACGCTACGCGCTCGCCAACCCACACGCCGCCGGCAAGGCTGCCAAGATTGCCCCACGCTGCGCCGCCGCGCCGGCTGCGCTCTCTCCCACGCCGCTTAGCGCTGCTTGCTTCTCGCTTCCACGCCGCGCCATGTGCTTCGCTTCGCCATGCCTAACGCCGCCGACGCCGCTCGCTTTGCCGACGATCGCCGGCGCCGATTCATTGTGTTTCGCCGACGCTACTCTCACGGCGCGAGGGTTTGTCTGCGCCCACGTCCGTGCGATCATGGGTTTAGGGCCCATGAACTGTGATCAATTCAATTTAGGGAACCAAGTTTCAATTATCATGTTATACGTTTACAAATAGAAAAACATGCATACCTTTATCACAAAACGGCGAGTGCTCCAGTGGTAACGCACCAACATGTCTAGCAGCAGGTCGCGGGTTCGAATCTCCCTGCGTGCGCTATTTTTGGCAAAAAAAAAAGGGAGGCGGAAGGATGTAGGTCCAGCTGGACCGTGTGGGCCACGCTGCCCCACTTGTTCGCCGCCACGTCCTCAGGCTGAGACCCGCTGGTGGGACCGCATCGCCACGTCTTCGAGGTTGGGACCCAATGGTGGGACCACATCGCCACGTCCTCGAGGTGGGACCTGCTGGTGGGACCACGGCGCCACGTCCTCGAGGTGGTACACGAGCCAAACGATCTATGACGATTTAGTTTTGTTGTTTTACGACGATTCTTTTGTTTTCGTCATTATTCTTCGTGCCAAAGCTCCGTCACTTGTTACTTATGACGAAGCTGGAAATTTCGTCATAGAAAGCGCTTGTTCTGTGACGAAATTTGTAAGCGTCACGACTGAATCGTCATTGATGAACACATTTCTAGTAGTGTGATATCTAGACCTGGATCTAGAAAGTTTGTCTAAGGGTTTGAGCTAATTTCATGTCTAATGACCATACAACCATACATGGACAAAGATTAAAAAAACTGCGAACCAAAAACCCAATTAATCAAAAAATCATGTTCTAAACTGTAAAAATAATACCGGATTAGCACATTATTACCTTTTATTGCCAACTCCACCAAATAAATCAAGAGGAGAACCTTTCGCTTTAGTTTTGCATTTTTAGGATTGCTCCGGGAAGCACTTTTTTCCTCGTAAGGCTATAGTTCTATCTCGAGGAGATCCCGAAGAGGTCAGTGTTATTAATCGCCCTGGAAATCCATTTACCGGGACGTTTGGTAACACAGACCACCCCTAGAGAAGAAAGCTGTTTTTGGTGTTATGAACTACTAAATAGATTTGAGAGGTGGTTCTTTAGGTGGACCCATCTAATTTTATTTCCAGAAGTAGCTCAAACAACAATTGTTTCTGGAAAAAAATTCCCCACCTCTAAAAAATCGTATCGACATTGCAAGGTATGTAGAATGAGTTTGCTGTACCACCGTGTGGCAAGATACATTTGTAATCGACTGGTGATGAACGACCAATCTGTTGAAGTATTTGTAGAGTTCATAGACGTTCATTAAGACCATGAGTACTGGATTAAAATGGAACTAGAAGATGACATGCTCATGAAGTTATATCTTCCTTGCAGCATAGGACCAGTAATTATAGTGTTGAACAAATTATAGAGTAAGGATATCTGGATATGTAAGGAAAAAACATAAAATGAGATAAGCGATGCTATGATAAGATACTGAATGCATGCTCCAGTAATTTTGTTCCACTTGCCATGTGTTTCTGTTACACAAAGATTACCATGGTAATATAGACTAAAGAGTCCAAGGAATTGGCTCGACTGCATTGTAATAACCATACAATGGCAGGTTTAACATGCTTAAGAGGACCTCTATCTTATTTCTGCTCTAGATCGATGGATCACTGAATGCAAGACAATAATAACAACAAACCGTACTACTAAGAAGTACACAAATCCAAAAGGCGGAAACTATATGCTGACTTATTAACATATGAATGTTAATGCATGTTTATGGCGCAGAAACAACCTAACCGCTGCTATATGTTTTTTTAACATTAAATACAACAGGGGAGGCCCCCACTGTAGAGATTTTATTAAAAGAGGCCAAAAAAAACTGTACAAACCTGTCTGGCAATATGCCAAACAGCAGGAGCTAGCCTAAAAAGGCCAAAAGAGAAACAAAACAGAAGAAAACAAGAAGCTCTACACAAAGAAGAAAAGCAGCTCGTTTGGCCTCATCAAGAAATCTCTGAGCCTGAAGTTTAGCCTCCTCAAGAAAGAGAACCTTCCGACAATTAAAAGAAGGCCTTCCTCTATCAAATATTGTGTCATTTCTTTGCTTCCAAATTTGCCAAGAGGCGATGGTGAAGATTTCCATGAAGAAGGGACTCTGGGATTGCTGCTTTGCTTGTACCATCATTTGGAAGAAACCTGTAGCCAAATTCCATTGAATGCCCAAATGCTGCTAGCATCTTTGACTGAAGGGGCAACCAAGCCAGAACATGCAAGGAGACCTGTGAAACTAGGAGAGGGAATCTATACAGAGGAGGAACTCATGACGTTTGTTTTCACAAAATGTACAAGCCTGCAATCTGGCCTCTTCACAGAAGAGGCGCTTCCAAGACTCCAGGGAAGGACGGCCCCTGTCAAAGATGAAGTTGTTTCTTTGCTTCCAAATCTGCCAAGCAGCAATGATGAAGATCTTCATAAAGGAGTGTTGGAACTGCTGTTTTTCCTGTCTCATCATTTGGAAAAAAAAATCTCCTCCAAAGTCCCAGTGAATTCCTAGGAGAAGCCAACAGGCTTGATTGAAGGGGCAGTTGAAGAACAAGGTTGTTTCTTTGCTTCCAAATCTGCCAAGCAGCAATGATGAAGATCTCCATAAAGGAGTGTTGGAACTGCTGTTTTGCCTCTCATCATTTGGAAAAAAATCTCCTCCAAAGTCCCAGTGAATTCCTAAGAGCCACCAACAGGCTTGACTGAAGGGGCAGTGAAAGGCAGTTTCTTCAACGTTGTTGCTGCATAGAACACAATTATAGTTGTTGCCTTCTAGCTTATGCTTCTTTCTCTTTAGGATGTTCCTTGTGTTTAACCTATCCATAAGTAGCCATGAAAAGACTCCGAGCTTGTTGCAACATTTATGTCCATCAGATTAAGTACAGGAGTACCTCAATCTATGTACTGCCGTTTATCCATCTAATTCCATCCACGTTCATGTTATTGCTCAACAAGTTTGTTTGAATAATCTTATGAACATATCTATCTAATAGCTACTCTACAAATAATCAAATTAAGTACAGTTACCTCAATCTATGTACTGCCATTTATCCATCTAATTCCATCCACGTTCATGCTATTGCTCAACAAGTTCGTTTGAATAATCTTATGAACATATCTATCTAATAGCTACTCTACGAATAACAGTTACATACAGCACAGCAGGCACCGCATCATTGCATTTGCACCCATCCGTTTCCACTGATTGTCATCTACCTGCAGACAACTCTATCGCTTCCTGATTGTAGACGGAATCCTCTCCCCAGTCAAACCTCCGCTGCATCCGCTCATACTCCTGCCTCCTTGTCACCTCCACATGCTGCCACTCCTCCCACCGCTCCGCCAAACCCTCACCTTCCAGCATCCTAACCACTTCAGACATTGATGGCCGGTCCTCAGGTGATGCCTGCGTGCAGAGCAGTGCTATCTGTATTATCATCTCAAGATCCTCGATGTCATAATTCTGATTAAGGTTGCTGTCCACAATGGAGTCTAGCTCCCCTTCTCTCTGTAGCTTCTTTACCTGTATTTAGTTACAGGTACATCATAACATACACAGGAATCAGGTTGCATTAAGGATGGAGCCAGTATAAAAAAAATTCGTAACCAAAGAGGCAAAGAGCAAAGCTATCCAATATTTGGAAGTGAAAAAAAGACTTACATGATCAAGCAATAGCACATCTTCTTCCTCTTCCAGCCGTGAGAAGTCAATAGCCCGCTGACCAGTCACAAGTTCAAGAAGCATAATCCCATAGCCAAAAACATCAGTCCTCTCGGACGACTTCCCTGTGGACAGGTACTCAGGTGCTATGTGACCCATGGTTCCACGGACTTGTGTTGTCACAGATGTCTTCTGCACATCTACGAGCTTTGCTAGGCCAAAATCACCAACAACAGGCTCGAAATCCTCGTCAAGCAATACATTTGCAGCTTTAACATCACGGTGTATGATCTTGGGGTTGCAGTGTTCATGCAGATACTCCAGTCCACGAGCTGTACCTATAGCCACCCGTTTCCTTGAAGGCCAGTCTAGGATGGGTTCTCCAGGCTTAAAATCTGGATAGCATTTAGAACACAGGACACATGATATGAGACCAGCATCAATTACGAGAAAAGAAAGACGCTAAATAAGTTAATAATTTTTTTGACCAGTGGGAATGCTTGTTGTATACAGATGTAACAAATCAAGCCTGTTAGCAAAAGGATGAGAAAATGTTATGTGGGAGATCCAAGGTCTACCATATGCAAATTATCAATGGTAAAGTTCTGTCTGTACATAAAAGGAAGAGAAATAATAGAGAAAATTCCTTTATAGGTAGTAATAGTGGAACATCTTAGCAAAATACATGGAGGGGTGCATTTTTTTCTCTCGAACACACAGAAGAGCTGTTCATTATATTACTTAGATTAAAGAAGAAAGGGTACATCCCTGGATACGCACTCACACACACACACAATTATTTAGTAAGTATGCGCACCTGCGACAAAGATTACAAACAACCACAATCCTGTACCTAGAGGGGTGCATGGACAATTTTAAAAAATAATACCTCTTAAGCGGCAGGCAACACTCAAATTCTGCATAAATGGATAAACCAGCAAGCGCTCTGTTTGTGTCGTGCAGAAGCCAATTAATCGTAAGAGATTGCGGTGAACTGCAACACTAATAAGCTCAACCTCCCGCAAGAAGGCAGCCTCCCCACCAGGACTGTCATAGTCAGTCAGTCGTTTTACAGCAATCTTAGTGGCATCTGGAAGAACTCCCTTGTACACTTTACCAAAACCTCCCTGTCCAAGAACATTTCTTTCATTGAAATTATCAGTCGCAATTTGCAGTTCTCGCCATGCAAATCTTTTAATCTGGCCAAACGCAATTCGTCGATCATCCTCGCCTGTAGAACATACATTGGTATATAGCTTAGGGGATTGCATAAACTATGCAAACTTGAAATTCTTATGATTAACACAGTGCCTGATTGATGAAGGTGTAGGGTCATGTATTCTGATTAGGAAATTATTATTTTCAATGGCTGAAACATGAGCCTGCTGTATATTAATAATCAAGTATCAACGGTGTGTTTACTGTCTTGGTCTTTGGGAGCTCTAAACTTTATGAATTTTTTAAAGAGATATAACAGTTTTGTTAAGCCATTATTAAGACTATTACTTCACTACTGTGAAAGACTAAAAGCAAGGCGTCAACTACAAGGGCATGGAACCTGCTACATCCACAAAAACTTCCCGCAGGTGGCTTTTCCTCCTTGCATTACAGATTAGAAACAGAGCTCCCACGATAAGAAGCCCTAAAATTCCACCAACTGTTCCAAGTATTAAGCCAATTTTTGAGCTATGGGATCCACCTGTAAGATGATAATTATGGAATTAGCAATCTCATAAAATACAAGGAAACCATCTATACTAACAAACTACTATGCATTGGTAAAATAATAAATACAGTAGTCAGAATGCAACTTACTCTGATAGGACATGCTGGATGCACAAGAATGCGGGAAGTTGGGTCCACAGTTTAAGTGATTACCAGAAAAGCTGGTCATGGAAAAAGATAATTTTATCATTCACTCAGGATAAAAAAAATCATAGAATGAAAGAAAAAAATTAAGAGCAAGCTTCATATACTTGTAACGTGCTACTTGAAACAGCGAACCAGGTATCTGACCAGACAAATTATTATATGCCAGGCGGCTGTAATCAAAATATTTTTTTGTCAACACATGACAAGCACATTTAAATGAACTTGAGTTATAAGAAACCGAAAAGGGTATCATACTCAGTCTTACATGTCTGTCAAGCTTGAAATGTTCGCTATGCTATCAGGAATTGACCCATTGAAATTATTTTTACTCAGTATCCTGGTTATGAGAGAAAGGAAGATTACATGAAAAGGTCACATATATATATAACTCTATTTCTTTTCTCGAATACGTAGGACATATAACTCTATTTATGAGAAGGGAACTCTGATTTTAAAATACTTACAACAGCGTTAGCTTAGAAAGGTTGCCAAGAGAAGCTGGTACTTCTCCAACTAAAAGATTGTCCTCTAAATCTAAGCTTGTCAAGCTAGATAGATTACCAAACTCCTCTGGTACGGTACCGGTAATCCTGTTACCAGCCAATGACCTGCAAGATCATATGCTATAAGGTTTCATAGTAGTCCGAGAAGTATCAGGAAATTAAATTGCACCAAGCTTGAACAATAGTTTATGTATGACACATATCTAAAGGTAATAACCAGAACTAGTACCAATTCCTCTGGAATAGAATATGTTAGCATATGTGACACTGGTACAATCCATATCATCCTAGTTTACTTGCATAGATGGCTAGCCCACTATGTTCTTGTTTCAGTAACATATCAGTTTGCCCCCAAAACATGAAGAGAAGCAGACATGTCTATCCACAGAAGCAACAGAGTCATAGAACTGTAAGATTCAATAGAGAAACTGATTCCTAATTTCTCAGACATGCCAAGGTTTCTGGACTGGATTCATCATAATTTTATTGCATGTACTCATTCTATAAATTTCTTACTTTGAATAACATGATGTGATTCTCTGGAAAAATGAATAACTATTGCTATAGTGTAACAAATGTACACCATACCTTCTGATGTTTATAGAAGTGATTATGTCAAAGGTATATATAATCTACAGAATAAGACATCATACTCACAGGACACTCAAATATTGGAGTTCTCCAATTCTTGGTGACAAAACACCAGTGAATCCTCGTGCAGCCAAAGTTCTAAAAGAGAGCATAAGGATTAGTAAAAAAACACACAGGATCAGAACAGAGGGGAACATAAGCACTCCAACAACATCAGAATATAATGAAAGCAAACAAAGAAAGAAGGTACAGGGGCTCCCACTTACACTTGAACAACATTGTTGTTATTGTCACAAATAACAGAATTCCATGTGCAAGGGTTAACTTGATTTTGGTTCCAATCTGAAAGCTGACCGCCAGTAACGTTCAGTTTTTGTTTCATATCATATAAAGCATCTCCTGCAAAACATAGTCAGTTATTCAGTCTTCATAAGGTACTTGATTTTTGCAAACAAGAGATCCAATCGGCCATTGAGGATTACATTTTCCTCTTTTCTTTAAATGCCTACATTATCCCTTAAGAACCTAAACTAAATTTGTTTCTCCATGTCAACCAAACCTTAAACATTGAGGGATACAGACAGACAGACAAAAAAGATGGCATTGGTAGTTTGGTGTAACAAGAGAGTCATGTCAACAGTTATACCCATACTCAAGGTTTCTCCCAGATACAGTGTTTTAATGTGAACATTGCCATATATATAGACCACCACAGTTACATGACTTAATTGGCATGTTTGCTCAGGTAACATTAATGATCATGCTGCTGTGTTTTTATGAAATCATGGTATGCCCATATTAAATGCTATGACGAGCTGATTGCAGTTGCAGAAACATGTGGTGTCATTATTATCAATTATCTAAGTTTAAGCTAACCTATGTTTCCCAGATACCACTAGAAATGTCAATACATAAATATTCCAACCACCGTTTCGATAATCAAACAGCTGGCCTATCAAGACAGCGCCTTTGCGCTAGGCGACACTCTCCTACAAAGCACAAGCGCCAAATTGCCCGCCTAGCAGCTGCATAGCCTGCCCAACTGCTACCTATGTGCAAGGCGCCCAACTAGTACCTACCGCTTTCTAAAACACTGGTTATAATACAGCAACAGTTTAACAATACAACTAAATTCCCATTTGTTCAGCTAACAGGTACCCAAAACACACTCATGCGGACGCAGAGGCAAGCGACGGCTGATGAGAGCGTCACCTTGCAGGAACGATAGGGCAGTGTGGTAGTACCTTGGGGATCGGATGCAGAGAAGCACGGCAAGGATATCACCAGAACCAACACAACGAAGCGCAGCTCCCTCATCTTGCCTAGATCCCACTCCGGCCGGACCTCCATTCCACTCCACCCCATCAGCCCAGCCGCAGTAGTAGATAGGGGGGCCCCGGTGGCGGCCGCGCCCGGGGGGGTCGGCAGCGCGTTCAGGAGAAGAGAGCGTCGAGTTCGGGCAAGGCGAGCGGAGGTCGGGATTGCGGGGGCGGCCGCGGATTCGAGAGTTTGGGTGGGCGGATTGGGATGAGCAGGCAGAAAGAAAGTGTGAGAGCGGAGCAAGAACCTGGACCACTTCTTCTTTCTTTTTGTTTTCTATCTATTTCCTTATTTTCTTTTCGAGATGAGGATTATTCGGATTCGTGGGCCGAACATGAACGGGAGAATGGCCGAATGGGGGAAGCCCGTGAACGCTCCTTCGGCCGTTCGACCCCCGCGCATCACATATCACAGGCATATAGTAATGCAGATGCAACATTAGTGTTTGGTTAGTTGCGTTAATTAAGGTTTGGTTTCCTCTTCTATGTGGTGGTGGTAAGAGTACCTGCTGACCACGTTCTGGGAGAGACAGGCGCAGTTTAAGTTTGGCCGCACGCTGCTTGCGGGAAGCTGGCGTCGGGGATAGCCCAGGCACTGAGCCGGTACATCAACATGCTAATTCAAAGTAAAATGATCAAAGGCTGAGACGGCGGCAGGCTGCCTCGCTTTCATCTTCATCTCAGGGGCAGCTAAAAATATTTGTTGGAATATGCAAAACACTCTTACATCAATTCTTGGGGCTTGCCAAGTTGAGAACTTCAACATGCTAATTCAAAGTAAAATGATCAAAGGCTGAAATACTCTTTCATCTTCATCTCAGGGGCAGCTTGTTGGAATATGGGCTTGGCCCAAGTTGAGAACTTTCAATTATCTCAAAGAAATCTTCAAGTCTCATCCATGTATGCACATGGCGAAGTGGAGGAACTTAGCCTCACCTTACTAATTTAACTGAAGGTTGTCATATTTAAATATGGAAACGCTCTCCATTTTACAAAGTTTAGTGTGATGAGAGAGAAAGAAGTTCCACACGCATGCTTGCTATCCTCACCAAACTCGGTCTCAGGCTCGACACCAGCATATGGCCGGTCAAAATTCGGCTCATGAGCACGGACTTCTTTTGCAATTTTATTTTTTAGTCGCTTGGTTTTTAAGTTTGCAAACTAGAAACCTAACCGGTTTAGATCGTGATCGTGACACGAGATCATACGGGTCCTCCCTAGCTATATAAACCCTATCGGATGCCATCAAAAATTAATGTATTCAAGTTTGGATTTTGCCTCTTTCCACTGTTGCGCCGCCATTAGTCTCTTCATCCTGAGCGTCTATGTGCACACATGAAAAGAAATAAAGTAAAGATCACACTCGAAGGAACCAAGCATATTTACGAAGAACCCCACAAGCTTCAAAGAAACAAAGAACTTGAACGTAGGATCGTGAAGAAGAGAGACTCTGAAATGTGAAGCAAAGCCCCCAATGGTGGCTTGCAGAATGGAACCAATGGAGTCAACGGTCAGACAAAACTTGCATCTATCAAAAGCAGCCACCAAAGCAAAGAATGAGGGACCAAGGTCCGGCCAAGAGATCGAAGAGCCAAACTTGCGCCAAACATCGGCTTGAATCTTAAGACCCGGAGCAAAAGAAAGGCCCAGGAGGGCCATGAGGCAAGGAGAAAGGGGACAGAGAGAGACGGGGAAGGAGCTTACTGAAAGCCCAGGATGAGCTTCATGGCGAGGAGCGGCGGAGAGGGAGCACATAGGCTCCGTGCATCTAACTTCAAGGCTCTTCCCCAAGCTGATCTCCGGGCACCACAAGCAATCTTTTTAGTTGTAGAGATAGAGAAATCTCTATTTTAACATTAAAAAAAGTTATGCTTATTTATTTGATCCTGCAAATTTAAACCTTCCTTATTTAATTAAAATCAGTATTATCTTGACTACCTTTTTCCGACACTTCTATTAGTTTGTAGCTCTAACAGCACTAAGTGGAAAGTAAAAGACTATTTTGCTCCTGTTTAATTTTCCCTCCGTTCATTGTTGCTGTTGGTTCTTGCTTTTTTTTTTTGGTTGTTTTCTTTTGCTTTTTCTTTGTACCCTCTTGTATTCAGAACTTGGTTGCCAAAGATTTGGCACAGGTTAATATGTAATGGAGAGCTCTTCCATGTTCAAAAAAAAAAATTTCGCATGGATGCCACGACTCAAGAAATCCAAACCAGAAAAGTACTGCTCAAGCACTCTGAAGGTAAATTGTTTGGGTCAAACAACAATCTCAAGTATTCATTTTTGATGACCTAGGACTGAAAGTATTCATTTTTCATGACCTAGGACTGAATGATGTTGCCTGGCCCAGATAAACTAGACAGTACCCGGCTTCGATACTTGAATTAGACCCACTTAGGCTGGCCCGTTGTCGTGTGCAGTACAGGCGGCGTACAGCAGAGGAACTACACCCCCGTTGGATGGATCCGGACCAGAAGCCACTTGCATACTTGCTGACGCCATTGCTGTGGTGACCTTTTGCCCGATCACGACTTGATCCCCAAGGCAGCACCAACCAGAACCAAGCCGATTCCAACTCCGCGGCCGGCGCGGCGACTACTTCCGTTTCGACGCGGGCTAATTAACTGCACAAATAGCTAGGGTTCCCGATCGAGTCCCAGGCCACCACGCCGCCCACCTCCCGGCCGCCATTTTGCAAACAAACTCTCCTCCCATCAAATTGATAAGCAGCCAGACCCGCCAGGCCCGCGAATCCGGCGCAAGAACAGAGGTTGTGTTGTGTCACATCACAGGGAGAAGGAGGATGTCGGGCAGGTCGAGCCGGATCGCGGTGGTGGTGGAGGATCGCTGCCGCCCCAGCAAGTGCGGCCAGGAGTGCCGCAGGCGCTGCCCCGTCAACGCCACCGGTACGTTTCACGGTCCTCAAACCTTGTTCGATTTGATTCCATTGACGGTGTCTGGTTCCGAGCGTGGTACGCACGACAGAATTTTTGGAAATTGTTAAGCCAGAAATCCGGGTGTTCATCCATGTTAAGACTTGTTTGGATGCATTCTAATCTATCCCAATCCATATGAGTTTTTGTCACACCGTCTGATGGATGATCCAACGATTTCGTGTAGGACGTAGAAAGTCACAGCTGGGTGTCGTGTGTGTGATTCTGTGTGTGGGCATATAAGTGCTCGATCATGTATTGAGATGCTAAGACATTTTTATCCAATTAAACATATCGAGGCTTGGAACAATCCTTCTCAAAATCGTTGTGTCCATTCTGCTCTAGCTCACGTCAGAGAGTTAATCTCATCTCCAGCCACAGGTGTGACAGTTAAGGTGTGACAGTTAATCTAATCTCCCTACACACGTCAATTGGAGTGTGTATTTGATCTATTGTGTTTCTCGCACGATCCTCATAGCTACATGTAGTTAATTTTTTACTCCAATGTCCTTTTCAATACACTGTCTACTGTTTCTCAATTACCATTGTTTATCAAATAGCTTATGTGTAATGCAAATTTTACTGAAAATTGTTTGTGGCATTGCGAAATGATTATTTTCTGATAGTTGAAAGCAACCATTACCATTCATGCATCTATGGACTAGTATAAAGAGGACAAATATCTTGAACAGCTGAACAAGGGGCGGAGCTCAGTGGCAGCCAAACTGGGCTCCGGCCCCTGCTTGCCTGTGATGAATTATGAAGAGCGTCCCCTAGCCTATCAGTTGATAAATTCTGCTACAGCAAGAGCTGTCATGATGACTAGCTACTTTCTTGCACTAAGTGCTCAGGTGTGCAACAGTCATGCTAGCTGTTCATATAGGTCTGGACAAAACATACATGGAGTAACAAGCCAGCAACATATCACCCGTTAGCACAATACTCGGTTCTCACTTCTTTTTTGAAGGTTCACACTTCTAAGGCACCATCGGGAGACACATACTAATGCTAGGAAATCCTTATTCTAAATTACTCTTATTTTTCATGAAGACACATGCTGTAGTGTTTACTATAGAAAATTGGACAATAATATTTATTAGTGGATTAGTGTTAGATAATCTACTGCTTTCTTGTACGAAAACATAGCAAGGGAAAGCGGTAGCAAAAAAGCTCTCTCTTTGTGGTACTATAGTCATTGAGAGAGGCAGGCGCGAACAGTTCACTGCCGCCAAGATTGTAGCCACAAAGCAGGAATAGGCGCCAAGTCAGTCTCATTGTGTTATCTAGTCCTTTAAAGCAGACATGTCAATTGTACTAGAACTAGATGGATAAAATTGTATATATAGTTTGCCACTGCAACTCAGTAAATAGAATTCAGATTTGTCATCTCCTATACAGGGCTCCGGCCAACGTTGGTGTCTCTGGCTGTGTGTGTATGCTATGTTCTCCCTCTCTTCTTCTACCTCTAGCCATAGTGTGTGGTCGGACAACGTCTGTCGTGCTCTAGCCGTGGTCGGTAAGACTGGTGAGTGGTCGACTCACCTGAGTCGGTGATCCTTGTGGGCTAACAAGTGATATCAGAGCTGTACAAGCGCCATCGCCGGACTAACCGCTGGCGATGATGGACGGTTCGGAGATGGGCGATAGCAGTGGCACTGCTGTGGCTGTCCAGCCATGACAGGAGGTCGTTGTTTGCACGGTGCAGGAGGTCAGCAGCACCAGTTGGCCGACGCTGACTCGCACCAACTATGGAGAGTGGTTGATGACCATGAAGGTCAAGCTCAGAGCCCGACGGTTCTAAAATGCTGTTGACAAGGGCACCGACAATGAGAAAGATGACATGTCAGCATTGGAGGCAATTCTCATTTGTTATCTTGGTGAGTCTGAGGAGCCGTTAGGGGCGAAGAGCTCGCTAGGAGGTGTGGGAGGCTATTGCATGATGCGCGTCGGTTCCCGACTGCGGCAAAGAAGGCGACGGCCCCAACCACAAAGTAGAGTACGCCAACCTCAAGTTCAAGGATGGTGAAACGGTGGAGGATTTCTCCTCCACTGCAGACGCTCATCGCAAAAGTCAAGAGCCACGGCGTCACCATCGACGAAGAGGAGGCGGTCTCAAAGTACCTCCACTCCATGCCGGCAAAGTACATTCAGATTACTCTCTCCATAGAGACGATGTTGGACTTGTCCACCCTCACCATTGAGGATGTGACAGGCCGTCTACGGGCGGTGGATGAGCGCCTGGAACAGGTGACAGCAACGAAGGACAGCGGCAAATTGCTGCTGACAGAGGAGGAGTGGGCTGCTCGGAGGAACTCCAGGGTAGCCTCCTCCAGCTGCGGTGGCAATGGCAAACGCCACGGCAAGGCTTCTTCGGAGAAGAAGAAGAAGATTGACCCCAACACCTGCCGGCGCTGCGGGAAGACGGGCCATTGGGCACGGGAGTGCCCAAATCGCAAGTAGGAGAAAAAGGCTGAGGCTCATCTGGCGCAAGCTGATGATGATGATGATGAGGCCACTATCCTGATGGCGACGTTCTGTGCACTACACGATGTTGAGGCTGAGGAGAAGGGAGAGGTGACGACGGTGGAAGGACCTGGGAAGGCCCTGAAAGCTGTCAACCTCGATGAACCGCGCGCCCAAGTCCACCTCGGACGTGTGGGCGGCGAACAGGAGTAGCGGTGGTATCTAGACTCTAGTGCCAGCAACCACATGACGGGCTCAAGGCATCCTTCTCCAAGCTCGACGACGATGTTACCGGTACGGTGGAGTTTGGTGACGGCTCAAGGGTGGCTATCCGAGGGCACGACACCATCATCTTTAGGTGGCAGAACGGGGAGCACCACACGCTAACGGATGTATATTACATCCCACAACTATGTTCAAGCATCATCAGCATTGGAAGCTGGATGAGCGCTGTAGCGAGGTACTGATCAAGGACGGAGTCCTTAGGATTAGGGACCGGAGCAGCGACTTCTCGCCAAGGTGAAGAGGTCCCAGAACCGGTTGTACCTACTCAACCTGAAGGTAGAGCAGCTGGTGTGCCTAGCGGCAAGGCACACCGAGGAGCCGTGACTGTGGCATGCCCGGTTCGGACATCTCAACTTCAACACGCTTGGTCGGCTGGAGAAGATGGTCCGAGGGCTACCCCACATCGAGCACGGAGGCGAGACAGTTGCCTGGCCAGGAAGCAGAGGAGGCTGTCATTCCCAAAGGCGGCCAAGTATCGCACGGAGGACGCTCTCAAGCTCGTTCACGGCGACCTCTGCGGGTCGATCACACCAGCTACAAACGGTGGTCGGCGGTACTTCCTCCTGCTCGTGGATGATTGCAGTCGCTATATGTGGCTGCAACTCCTGACGAGTAAGGACGAAGCGGCGGCGGCGATCAAGAAGTGCAAGATGCGCGCGGAGGTCGAGAGCGGCAAGAAGCTCCGTGTGCTGAGGACTGATCGCGGCGGGGAATTTACTTCGGTGGAGTTCGCTGCATACTGCGTGGATCAGGGTGTGGTACGACACCACACCGCGCCATACTCGCCATAGCAGAATGGCGTGGTGGAGAGGCGGAACCAGACGATGGTCGGCATGGCTCGATCTATGATGAAGGCCAAAGGCATACCGGCAAGTTTCTGGGGTGAAGCGGTGATCACAGCGGTGTTCATTTTCAACCGCGCACCCACCATGGCCCTGACGGGCAAGACGTCGTTCGAAGCTTGGTATGGGCGCAAGCCGAGCGTATCCTTCCTCCGAACATTCGGCTACATCGGCCACGTCAGGAAGACGAAGCCGATCCTCACCAAGCTGGAGGACAGGAGCACACCGATGGTGTTACCTGGGCTACGCGGAGGGTACCAAGGCGTACCGGCTCTACGACCCATGCGGAGACAAGGTACTTGTCTGCGCGACGTTGTGTTCGACGAGAAGGCGGCTTGGGACTAGAACAGTCCGAGCACGGGGGAAGCTAGCGGCTTCACCAGCACCTTCGTCGTCGAGCACTTGGTCATCCACGGTGGTAGAGACGCTGGGGAAAAGGTGCCGAGCACTCCAGCAACAGAGCCGAGCACTCATGAGGCGGTGCCGAGCACTTCAGGAGGGATGCCGAGAACTTAGGGAGGAGTGCCAAGCACTCCTGGAGGGATGCCGAGCACGCCAGGAGTGGTGCCGAGAGGTTCTGTGGTGGTGGGGACCACTCAAGGACGGGTGTCGAGCACTCCCGTAGAGGAGCCGAGGGGTCTTACAGTGGTGCCGACCACTGCAAGACGTGTACCGAGCACTCCGGGAGGGGTGCAGACCACTCCAGGAGTGATGACGAGCTGTCCAGGAGTAGTGCCGAGCACTGCAACCAGGGTGCCGAGCACTCCAGGTGTTGTGCCGAGCACTCCAGATGTCGATCGAGTTCGCCTCACCTCCAAGTGACATCACTGAGTTCATGGATGCCTTCCACGAAGGTGAGGAGGTGTGGTTCCGCAGGCTGGATGACATCGTCGGCGACGTAGGGCCCTTAGGCTTGGCTGGTCGGCTGCTCAATGACCAAGAGCTGCTGTTCGTTAGTGCAGAGGAACCACCCACGTTCGCGCTGTCCGAGCACGATGGAAACTGGCGACGGGCGATGCTGGAGGAGATGAAGGCGATCGAGGAAAACGAGACTTGGGAGCTCATCGATCCACCTCTATGATGCCGTCCGATCAGCCTGAAGTGGGTGTACAAGGTCAAGCGGGACGAGCTCGGCGCCATTGTCAAGCACAAGGTGCACCTCGTCGCTCGAGGCTTTGTTCAGCGCGAGGGCATCGACTTCGAGGAAGTCTTTGCGCCTAGTAGCGCGCATGGAGTCTGTCCGTTTGCTACTAGCCTTGGCAAGCAGCAAAGGACTGGCGCGTCCATCACCTGGTCGTAAAATCGGCCTTCCTCAACGGTGAGCAGGCGGAGACGGTCTTCGTCAGGCAACCTCCGGGTTTCACCATCAAGGGAGCGGAGCACAGGGTGCTCCAACTGCACAAGGTGCTCTATGGGCTGCGGCAGGCCCCATGAGCGTGGAACGCCAAGCTTGACGTCACGCTGGGCGAGCTTGGGTTCCAGCGATGCGCAACCGAGCACGTGCTCTACACATGGCGACGGGGAAGGAGGAGCTCGTCGTCGGCGTGTATGTGGACGACTTGATCGTCACCGGTGCATGTGCGGAGGACATCGGCAGCTTTAAGCGTGAGATGACGGCTCATTTTCGAATGAGCGATCTCGGGGCACTCTCTTACTACCTCGGTATCAAGGTGAGACAGGGGAAGGAGGAACTCACGCTCGGTTAGAGCGCGTATGCCTCGAAGCTGTTGTAGCGGAGCGGCATGGCTGAGTGCAAGCCATGCGTGACTCCAATGGAGGAGCGGCTGAAGCTGACGAAGGCCAGCACCGTGGCGAAGGTGGATGCAATACTTTACCGGAGCATCATTGGCGGTCTGCGCTACCTAGTCCACATGAGGTCGTACATTGCGTTCGTCGTGGGCTACGTTAGTCGTTTCATGGAGGATCCTCGAGATGATCACTGGGCTGCGGTGAAGCGGCTATTGCGCTATATCAAGGGGACGGTGGATCAAGGGATCATCTTCCCCAAGACAAGCGGAAGCAGGCTGTAGCTCACTGTGTTCAGCGATGTAGACATGGTGGGGGACATCGATGGACAATGAAGCACCTCTGGCGTGCTCGTCTTCCTCGGGTCGGCTCTAATTTCATAGCTGCCGCGGAAACAGAAGGTGGTGGCGTTGTCTATGTGCGGGGTAGTGTACGTAGCGGCGGCCACAGCGGCGTGCCAAGTTGTGTGGCTACGCTGGCTGCTGGATGAGCTGACCGGTGCGGTAGCTCACCCACCAGCACTGATGGTGGACAACCTGCCCGCCATCGCCCTCGCGAAGAATCCGGTTCTCCACGACCGGAACAAGCACATCGACGTGAAGTTCCACTTCCTCAGGGACTGTGTCGATGAAGGGCATATCGTCATCAAGTTCGTCGAAACTGGTCGGCAACTCGCGGAGGTCCTCACCAAGCCGCTCGGACGTCTTCGACTCACGGAGCTGAAGGAGATGATCGACATAGAGGGGCTCCCTATTGTGGTACTATAGCCGCTGCAGAGGAAGGTGTCGAACGGCTCACCTGCCGCACTGTAGCCACAGCAGGGACAGGCGTCGAAATCAGTCCTGCTGTGTTATCTAGTCACTGTAGCAGCATGGCAGCTGTACTAGGACTAGATGGATAGAGTTGTATATATAGTTTGCCACTGTAACTCAGTAAAGAGAGTTCAGATTTGCCGTCTCCTATACAGGGCTCCGGTCAACGCTGGTGTCTCTGGCTGTGTGTATGCTCTGTTTTCCCTCTCTTCTTCTACCTTTAGCCATAGTGTGTGGTCGGACAACGTCTGTCGTGCTCGGCCGTGGTCGGCAAGACTGGTGAGTGGTCGACTCACCTGAGCCGGTGATCGTTGTGGGCTAACAATTAGCCCCTCCTTGGTATTCGGTCACGCTCCGTCACTTGAACAAACCTTAGCTTTATGGTGAATTGGAGATTTCTAAATAAACCAGATGATATTAGAATCCTCATGAGCCTGCCTATATATGAGATATATGGATCAAATGCACCTTTGCCACTCACTGGTTGCATATGGTTTTATTCAACTCTATATCTAGATTCACCATGTAGTTCTCGTAAATGATGGGTATAGAAATCCTCTAAATATATCATCTATGCACGTAGCCCTAATAGAAGTGGCATGCCAACACATAATAACACGATTATGCAATATGTAATTAGTTATAATCTACCCCTTCATTCCAAATTGTATGACATTTTGAGTTTTTTAGATACATATATTTTACTATGTATTAGACATAGTGTATATTTAGATGCATAGCAAAACTTATGCACCTAGAAAAGCCAAAACGTCTTACAATTTGGAATGGTGAGAGTAGTATAAGAGAAAGGGAAAAACTTTTAGAACAATAGAAATCTAACCATGTAAACCTATCATAGGTTTCAATGTAGTTAAATTTTGACTCCAATATTCTTTTTAGTATGTTATAGTTTAGCTTTACTCAAACATCTATTTAATTTACTGAGTGATAATTAAGAATTTCATATTGCTCTTGTTTATATTAAAACTTAATATGAGATTTGTTATCCACGTTGATACTTGATAGGGCGTCAGTGCATAGAAGTTACGCAGTCATCGAAAGTCTCTTTAATTTCCGAGGATCTGTGCATTGGATGTGGTATTTGTGTGAAGGTTAGATCGTTTTCCTTTTCTGATTATCTTTGAGGTTTCGACCCAAGCTTATATGTAATGTTCTTAATAATATAACTCCCTTGTGTTATTATATTTTCAGGTGTGTCCTTTTAATGCTATTCAAATTATAAACTTGCCAAGGGAACTTGACAAGGAGACAACACATCGCTATGGACCAAATTCCTTCAAACTTCACAGGTAAAACAGATCATTCCCATCTTTGTGATACTTCAATCATATCATTCTTTCAAACTCACACCGGCCTTTTCCTTTTCCAAATTTATATTTTTAAATGGTATTTATCCCAGAAGTGTTTTGATATTTCATGCCACTATGCCTTTCAGATACAAAACATTTTCTCAAGCTTTCATAATCTCCTGTAGGCTGCCAGTTCCAAGGCCTGGGAAAGTTTTGGGCTTAGTAGGGACAAACGGTATTGGGAAGTCAACTGTACTTAATATTCTGGCTGGAATGTTGAAGCCTAACTTGGGTAAATTCATGGTAAGGAAAACAGACAACATTTTTGTTATTCATTTTGGTAGAAGTCATTTTAGGCTATAAGAATAAGACTCTTCCCACCTATTCAGGATCCGCCAAATTGGGATGACATACTGAAGCACTTTCATGGAACGGAACTTCAGAAATACTTCACCCGTTTTTTGGAAGACAAAATGAAGGTACTTCTACTATAAACGATAGCTGTTGTTCCATTTTATTGTCTAGTGTGTCTTGTTTGTACTTTTAAATTAAACAGATATGGGCTTATAGCATCAAAAGTTTATTCAAGTATTCATTCTGAATCTGTTAAAAGTTTGCATTAGATGTTCTCAAGAAAATTTGGAAGATGCTAATGTAATATGGGTTTTTAATGTTTCCTCTTAATTCCATTAATTTTTCTACTCTATCTGTTTTTTGCTGGTCTGACCATGATTAATTCTTAGCCCACATGATAGTACAATGTTTAGTTGGCATAGCTATATCTAATGTTAACACATGTTATCATGTTTTGCAATTCACTACCATTCTGGTATTTCTCATGGCTTATGGCTGCATGTAGTAATAAGTAATAGACATATGTTTCAATGGCAGACAATTATTAAACCTCAGTACGTCGAGCAAATTGCAAAATCTGTTGAAGGGACAGTTGGCAACCAGCTTAATAAGATAGACAAGAGACAAGCCAAAGATACTTTGTGTGATATTCTCGACCTGAATCAAGTAATGGACCGAAATGTATCAGATCTATCTGGTGGCGAGCTCCAGAGATTTGCAATAGCTGCTCGGGCTATGGAAGATGCAGATGTTTATATGTTCGATGAGCCATCCTGCTATCTTGATGTCAAACAAAGGCTGAAAGCTGCACAAGTTATTCGTTCATTACTTCAGCCCAAGAAGTAATGAAAAAATTTACATCAAAGAACCATAAGTCAATTGAAACATTTAACTCAGTCTGCATCTGATAAATCGTTTTTCTCCAATTTTGCAGCTATGTAATTGTTGTGGAGCATGATCTTGGCATTCTTGACTACTTGTCAGACTACATATGTTGTCTTTATGGGAGTCCAGGAGCATATGGTGTTGTCACTTTACCCTTTTCAGTTAGGGAAGGAATCAATATTTTCCTGAATGGATTTATCCCAACAGAAAATATACGCTTCCGTGAGGAGAAACTTACATTTAGAGTAAGTACTATTAATTGTGGTTAGACACTTCTGAAAACTGACTTATTTATTTGCTCAATGGTCTAAACCTGATGAGATGTTTGGTTTATCAGGTTACTGAGTCTGCTGAGGAGATAACGGAGGGTGAGACTTACCAAAGCTACAAATATCCTACCATGATGAAAACAAGATCTGGCTTCAAGCTATCAGTCATGAAAGGAAGCTTTAATGGTTCCCAAATAATTGTACTGCTCGGAGAAAATGGTACTGGGAAGACAACATTTATCCGTATGCTGGTATATCTCCTTGTTCTTCATATATGTTTTACAGCTACTGAAAATATATTTTTTAGTAGTGCAGCCCTTATTATTATTTTCATCTGAATGTATCAGGCTGGACAAGTGAAGCCAGACAGAGTGGGTGATGAAGAAGTTGATATGCCTGCATATAGTGTCTCATACAAGCCTCAGCAACTGATACCCAAAATTAGCACTACCGTGAGAGAGCTTCTACACAGGAAAATACCTGGATCGTGTAGCAATGCCCAGTTCAGATCTGATGTCATGAAACCACTGAAAATTGAAGAACTCATGGACAGGAAGGTTGCAGATTTTTCTGGTGGGGAGCTACAAAGGGTTGCACTTTGTCTTTGTCTCGGAAAGGTAAAAACACAATAGATTGCCCCTTATGTTCTTTCCTCAGATCATATCATTGGTACAGAAGTTCCTTAGTATTACACCAGAAACTTTTCCTTTTGTAGAACAACTTGAATGTTCAAAGATTTTAAGCATATTCATGTGGAAAATAGATATTAATATATCATACTTGCAATAACATCAGTGTTCTTAATATTCCTAACAAATACATAAATCAGCATAAATATATCAGCCATTCAATGGATGTTTTTAAGCTCCTCTGTTTTTTTTTATTTGTATTTGCACAGGCTGCTGATATTTACCTCATAGATGAACCAAGTGCCCATCTTGATTCAGAGCAGCGCCTTCTTGCAGCAAAGGTCATCAAAAGGTTTATCCTTCATCAAAAGAAAACAGCTTTTATTGTTGAGCATGATTTTATCATGGCAACATACCTTGCCGACAAGGTTGTCGTTTTCGAGGGAAAACCTTCTGTTGACTGTACTGCAAATGTGCCTGAACCCCTGGCGTCTGGGATGAACCGCTTTCTTTCAGTTAAGTTCTGTTTTCCTTACACCCTGCATCTTAGTAACAAAAAAAGTATAGGATAACTTTAACTTTCTTACCAGCATTTGCTGGCAAGCAAAAGTTTCTTGGATATTTGAATAGCCTAGAAATAATTAGACAACTAGTAGTTTACAAATGTAGGTTGAATTTATAGGTATAAAATATTCTAGTTTATTTCATTAGGATCTTGATGAGATGTCTTTTAAACTTGTAATCTTCCTCTTCTGCGCCACAGCATCTAGATGTCACTTTTAGGACAGATCCAACAACGCACAGGCCTCGGATTAACAAGCTAGGATCCACAAAGGACACTGAGCAGAAGGCTTCAGGGTGTCACTACTACCTTGATTATTAACGTAAGAAATTTCAGCCTTTTGATTTCATCATTCATAGTTTCACGATCAAAAGTCTTCTTTTCAAAGAAATGCAAGTCTTTGATGTATCTACTTGCCTCCACAGAAAGCTTTCGCTGAGGGCACATCTACTTTTTGCGAAAGCTCCATTGGAGCCGAACAGCTCCAGTGCTCGTGCTATTGTGCTCATACATGCAAGCCCATTTGCATCTCCCGGTGGTTTTGATATGCTTGCATTGGTTTTCCACGTTTAATGATTCGTATCACACTCCTTTTGTATCCATCAAAACACTAACTGCCTGTCTCACTTTGATCGGCTGCTTTGCCACAGGGCATGTTTTGGAGCTTGCAAACATGAATTCTACGAATCGTCAATTCATCTCTTTGCGTCTGCCAGTGCTTTCGGTATGTTTGTGATGCTTCTTTTTTAAAACTATGAACGTTTATTCTCCCCATTCTGTCAAAACACTTAATGCTTTTTGAAACGAAAACACTTATGTTTTTGTCACCTTGTATTGCTGCTTTGGCACCAGGGCTCTACACGCTTGCAGGCATGAATTCTAAAGATTGGAAACTGAAATCTTGGCAAAGTATTATAGCTTCGGAGGTAATTTCTTATGATTTTTAGATATTTTTAGTTTAGTTTGTCACTAAATTCTTTTTTTTTGGAAATTTTATTGATTTGGAAGGTTTTGATCTAATCACTGCTGTTCTTTGCAGGTCATTGAATAGCACTTAAAGATAACTGGCATGAAGCTAGTACCTGAATGATAGTTTGAACAATTGAAGATCGATTGCATTGTTGAAGACTCGAAATAATATGCATCTGCGTCTGGCCTTAAGTAGTATGGAAGTTTGAGTGAATTTCTTATTAGTTTCAGGGCACTCTGGACTTCTGGTTGAGTCGTGGCCTTAAGTTATAATATGTGTTCTCTTCGAAGCCTTGGGTTTTGATTTTTGGGGTTGAGTCGTGGACTGATCAGAACAGTGTTTTCGTTTCTATCAAGCATTTTACTATTATATGACTGCTATGCTATCTATTCAACGCCGAAAGTGCAAACTGCTATCCATAGCTTTGTAGGCATAGGCACTCAAATTCTCTTCGGCGCAATCATGGTATATTAGAAGTAAAATTCTTTTAGGACGTCCTTGGCTGTCGCGTGGATACATTTGGTTTGAAACAATCTCCAACCAATAACCTAGATATACTTATAGGGGGCTCAAAACTGAGTGCAAGTGTAGGATCGATTCAGCAATCAGAGAGGGTGAATGATTGCATAAGCTAAATAAATTTTTCACATCTAACAAATCACATTTAACAAATCGAGGCCTTCAAGCGGCCGCTTCAACAACCGCTGATTGCTTCCCCGCCTAGGCTGCACACCACCGAGGATCCCAATGCGCTTCAACAGCCGTCCCCGCCTAGGCTGCACATCACCAAGGATCCCAATGCTGCTAATGATGACGACATCATCCCTAAACGCAGTGCCCGTTTAGCTGCTAAAAACAAGTTCAGAGCACCGAAACCGGAGGCCCATGCAAGAAAAGTGCTCATGAAGACATCGTCCCCAAACGCACTGCCCGTTTAGCTGCTAAAAACAAGCTCGGAGCACTGAAGCCGGAGGCCCATGCAAGAAAAGTGCTCATGAAAAAGCTTTTCGCCCACCGTTGTCCCCTAGGAAGTGGTAAGCCATGCGGGTACTCTTTCCTGGGAGGCACCAGCGTCGTGGGCTGGTGACGAACATCGAGTAGCCCAAGCGGTCCCAATGCTTTGACTTATTGTACCCACGGTCGCAACTACTGCCGTATAGTCCTTTGTATGTGTTATAGCTACTAGGCTCTAGCTCTAGCTTATCGATATTCCTGGCTGATCATGTGTGTTTAACGACAAATAGGCTATGGCCTGATCGAGAAAAAAAAATCACTCCATATTGATCCAACACAATCTCGGCTCAAGAGAGCCTATTGATATGTTAGTAAAAACAGCGTAGATACTAAATTGATTCCAATTGATCTCAATTGTCAAAACAAACTAGATAAAATTCTTAAACTAACACAATAAGATCAATAACGGCAATTGGATTTCTAGATCAAGAGATATTAAATTTACAAGCCTATCGTCTCAGACCGTGACGAAAATTGATTAGCCATATTTTGAGATTAAGCAACAATATGAACCGTAAAAAAAAGGATCAAACGACAAGTTGTTGCTATGCTATAATAGAATCATAATGTTCTAATACATGCGCATCTATAGCACTAGAAAAGAGTACTCCAAAAGAACTAATGCACACGGGTAAGCTTACTAAAGGTAGCCGCATATGCAATTGCTAAAGTACATAAATTAATAATCTAAGGCAATGATTAGTAAATGTCTCGTGAAAATGAGGAGATGCTAGCGCACGGACGCCCGTGCTGCACCCCGTGTTGCGTGCATCTCCATTTCCCGCGCCCTCCTTCGTATCCCGCACCCGCATCGCCCGGATGCCTCGCCCTGCCTGCACCACCCGCTTGCCCACAAGGACTGCATGCTTCCGCTCCGCTTCACGTGTGCAGTCAGGGACCGCCTGCGCGCCCTACTACATATCGCGCACGCAGGGACCGCCTGCGCCTGCTCCATATCACGCTCACACCCCCCGCCTACGGATGTGCGCCATGTAACTCTGGCTGTCCCATTCAAACACTTGAAACACACAAAAAAAACTTGCTGCAACATACGTATGAAACATATGAAATATTTAGAACAAGCGATGCAACATCTGTATGAAAAATATACAACATCCAGATAAAACACTTGCAACATGCGTCTGAAATGGATGAAATATTTCAAACAAACGCTTGTAACATCTGTGTGAAAATATATGCAACATCTGAAAAAAAACTCTTGCAACATACATCTAAAAAAATAGACAAAACGTTTTGAATAAACGCTTGCAACATACTCCCTCCGTCCCTAAAAAGAGTCGCTACGGGAATCGTGCTGGTCAAACTTTCTCAACTTTGACTAGATTTGTAGAACATGCGTGCAACATTTATATCTCCAAATAAGTTTATTATGAAAGTGTATTCAACGATCTACCTAATGGTACTAATTATGTACCATAAATATTAATATTTTGATAAATATATTTGGTCAAAATTAAAAGTTGTTGACTTTTGGGGAAGCGAGAATGACTCTTTTTAGGGACGGAGGGAGTACGTGTATAGCTATTGCAACATGTGCAACATCCCGATCTAATTTTGCAACATCCATATACAACACTTGTAATATACCTTTGAAACATCATAAATACTTGAAACATACGTTTGGAACATGCGCTTCTTTCTGTCGTGGTGTCTTTGGCCAACCGCGGGAGATGATGTCCTAGCCAGCGACGACCTTCATCTGGTGGCATCGGGGTGGTGGTGGCGCAGTGCACACCGTGGCCGCGACAAGCGAGCGCGGAGTGGGGCACGACAATGGATGGCCATGGCGGCAAGGCAGAGTGGGGTGGCGCGAGCGAGGGATGGTCGCGGCGCCGAGGCAGAGTGGGTTGGCACGGCGCATGATGGATGCCCACGCGGGGATATGGCCGTGGCAGCGAGGAGAAGAGTGGGGTGACATGGCATAGTAGGATGGGGGCACGCGTGAGGAGATGGCCGTGGCGGAGCGGATTGGGGCGAGCAGATGGCCGCATGGTGCGGTGAAGCACGCAATGGGCGAGCGGAGTGGGGAGGTATTTTTGAGCGAGATGAGGAGACATAGAGAGCAGGCAGGACTGTTGAGCCAGTAGCGGTAGCGCGCATGGCCATCAAGGAGCGTCCAGATGGATGGACGCCCTGACTGAAGCATTACCGAAGAAAATAAAGAAATAATTGAATTGTTTAGGTCCTATTTTGATCCATCCAGCTAACTATTAGCTATGTTAATTAGAAGAAACCAACTAATAGTTAATTGCTAATAGCTAATTGTTAGTTGAGTGGTATGTAAGACATTAGCTGAACTTATTAGCTAAGAATTCAAACAGGTCTTTACCTAATTTTGAGCAGCTAACTATTAGCTATAGAGATCCAGATAGGCCCTTACAACTTGAGTTGAGTCTGCGTGTCTGTGACAGAACCGCCCAATTTATACAAGATCAAGTACGGTTGTCCCCGCTAACACGTTGACACACCCATACTTTCACTCATATAAACCCGGTAGTCCGCCGAGTGTCCCGAAAGACCTCGGTAAATCAACATCACAACCAAGATCGCGTGATTAAGCAAATACACATCACATACATCCGGTTGCGGTGAAATAATATTACAAAGGAGTTAACAATTAGTAGTACAAGTTTGGGGTTTCAAAAAACCGCTTAGTGAAAACAACATAGTTTTCAAATGATTACATTAATATAAGTTCCAAATATATTGCTAGCATAGTGACATCATCCGACAAAAGCATATAGATGAGAAGTCAATATAGAATCACCGAGCCCACTGGGTTGTTAGCCACCATCATCAACAGGTCGAGAACTTCACCTGCAACAAGGTGGGATAAACCCTGAGTACTCGAATGTACTCAGCCAGACTTACCCGTCGGAAACCAAAACAAATGACACCAAGGATCATGCAAGGCTTTCTTTAGTGGGCTAGCTGACTTGTTTGCGAAAAGCATAAGCTATCATGAAGAAACCATTTTAAATACTTTGCATCATCTTTATTATGACCTATCCATCTAGGTAAGCACCTGTACTATAGCAATCACTTGATTAACCAATAACATCCAGTTACCAATTTAGATTTAGCATATCCCATACCATCCAGATAACCATCATTGTTCCATAATAATTACTACGATGCAGTAACTCGAGTCAAGTGCTCACTATCCAGGAGCGATGGCGATTCGAATCGATTCCTAACCAGCTGGTGATTTATTCCTTACACAAACCTCACTCACCCGCTAAAGTGAGATATTGATCACCGAGTCAACTTTCCAGGTATCTCGAGTTTGCCAGGAACCACATGTACCCGGGGGCCGACCGACTGCACTTTGGTCTTATCATCCCGCCCCCGTGTCCTACCACACCTGCTTCCCGCACACAAGGCGTGGCGCGCGGGCAATCTACTCGGCCGAAAAATCTCCCGGCTTCAGCGGTCGGAAGGTACTTTATCCGCCAGCTAAATGTAAGGCATGCGTTCAACATGACTCGAGGCCCAACAACGGTCGGTCCTTAATCGACCACGAGACGGAAACTAACAAAGACACCCAGAACCACGTCCGGTTGCCTCCAACTTTTCCGTCCGGTCTCCAATTATCCATCACACATGGTTACTTCCAGGATATCATTCTTTCCATAGCTAAATTCTTCCAAAGTAACCACCTATAATGTAGGTGATCGGATATCACCGATCGCTACCGGTCTCAGCAAGGCTAAGCAGTTATTCGATCCTGACCTAACAGGGTAAAAAGGTAATAAGGTAGGCAAGGATAGTAATAAATGCATCAACGGTTTCAATCAACTCCTACAACTTAATGCAACAATATATAACTCATATATAGAAAGAATTGCTTTTATAAATTAGGAGACTTATAATGCTCGGGGCTTGCTCGGGATCCGACACAAGTCGATTAGGTTAGCTTGCACCGAATCACGGTGTAAATCTCGTGTTCTAGCACTCGCTTAGTCCTTTCATCTTCGGGACAGATCTATCAAACACCGTCTTCGGGTTTGGCTCCAACATCACGTCCTTCACGTGGTTCATCTAGC